CACTAATGAGGTAGTTGGTCTGGTCGTTGATGAGTTTGAGAGAGCCGTTGTAGAAAGGATACTGATACAACAAAAAATCTGTGGAAAAGGATCACTTCTTCATTATTAATCTCTGTGGTTTACTGATACTGATACAAAAACAACAAAATACAAATCTCAAACAAACTTATCTCTATGGAAACTTGAGAAACTACATTTTGATAACCAATACAAACAAAAATAAATCACTTTTTGGTTTTCTGTATAATAACCGAAAACTATATCCCAAAACCGTAGCAAAATGTGGGTTCTGTCTCTTTTTTACTGTGTCTTATCTCTCTGTTCGCTCTTCCATGAATTCTTAGCTGCATCTGCCGAGATAGTCGTGCCTCCATTGCCGTCGCTGCTGCTGTCTTCTCCGGGCTTTGGTTTCGAGAAGAACGGATCCCACACGTGGCCCCCTGCTTCCCGCTGGCCTTCCTCTAGCAAGGCATACTTCCAGCTGTTCTCTTCCACAAAGTAATCGTACTCGGTTCGACCCTCGATCATGTTCTTCCTTAACCGAGTCACCTTGTCTATCACGGCCTGTACCGAGACATCAAATGCATCTTTCAGTGTCTCCAGTTCTGATCTCGGGTCTGCGTAGATCAGCCCCGGGATGAGGTTTATTACATTCTCTCTCATGATCTTCACTTGCTCTGGTGGAATCTGGAGGAGTCGTTCCTCGATGCTCATGTTTCTCTTCCGAATATCATCCTCGGGGATGAAAACCGAGTAGGTTGTGAAGTTCTTCGGTAGATGCCATGTGTACTGTGTATAAGCTGAGCCCGGGTGGAAGAAGACAGGTATGCAACCGGCAAGCATTGAGTCAAAAGCCGATCTTCGGGTGTAAGAGTCTCCCTGCGGTTGCAGACAGAAGAGAGAGCCCTGAAACATCTGCATAATGCTACTTGGTGCATGACATTTGCTTTCCCCAAAATCACATTCCAATAGTTTCCCAACTTTTGAGTTTCGACATTGGTCAATGATCTGCCCTCTGATGGATTTCGGGTTGTCAGGTCGTGGGGCTCCTGCAAATGAGAAAAGCCACTTCCTTTCCAGGTTTCTCATCCGCTCTTGCCACTCAAACACCTCTGAGTCCTTTGCTGGGTGGAAGTAGGTTGGGTACGGGATCCCGAAATCGTTTGCGTTCCATGGACTCGACTCAACCACAAGCATAGACATGTTCTTGGCAGCCGGTAAGAAGAGAAGCTTGTTGCCCCAATCAGTTTCTTCTTCAGACAATCTCCTGAAATCCCACGTTATCCTACCCGCCACAAGGAAATGATCTTTACCTCTCATTATTTCCCACTCAGGCCGCTTCATGAGCCAATCGACCAACTCAAGCGAAGCAGCATCCCTGGTCGAGATATTGTATCCCCATAAGTACCTAGCAATGTCGAATCCAGCATAGAACGGCACAAAAATCGCAGCAGCAAGAGAAGAATCATTCGTCAAGCACTTGTACTGCTTCATCCGGTTGCTGAATATCACGTCAACAGCAAACTGATTAGTCGCGTACCAGCCTTCATCCGAGAAAACACCTTCGACATTCTCAAGCGGTGGTCCAAGACCAGCATTGGTGGTGAACTTGCACATGTTAGTCCAAAGACTAAGCTTCTTACAATCTTTAAGCATATCCTCATTAAACCTCGAAGGTAAATCATGAACATAAATGTACTTCCCTCCACACGGATCGCTTTTGTTGTCAATCGTCTTCAACGCTCGTATAAACGGAAACTCCTGTTTCTCGACAACACTAGGCGGCTTAACGGTGGAAGTAGAGTTAGCTACTGGAGCAGGAGGAAGTACTGGCTTACCTATTGTAGTAACTAAAGGCTCCTTGGGAGGTTTCGAAGGAACTGTGTGAGGCTCAAGAGGGAATTTATCTACCCGAAGAGAGACTGTTGGTGATGGTTGAGATTGAGCATAACTAGGTTGCAATTGGATCTGATTCTCAATGTTACTAGTGCTACTTCCTAAAACAACAAAATGGAAGTACAACAACAATGCCCAGAAGAAAAGTGATAAAGAAACCAATAAACAGATTCGATTTGTCTGATTCTTCCCATTTCCTTTCTCCATTGGCTCTGTCTGAGCAACTTCAGCAGAGCGACGCCTCATAGAAACCCTCGGTGTCATTACAAGATCACAAACATTAAAACCCTAAGTTCCTAAATCCTAAAGAGCAAAACCCAGGTCCTAATCAAAGCTCTAGAAGTAAAATCAAAGCTCGGAAGCAGAGAAAAATCCAAGCTTTGATCGGAAAGTTCAAGTACAAAAGAAGCAGATTTGAGAAGTGTACCGAAAAGGATCTGTAAGAGATGGAGCTATACGAGGAAGAAAAGCTATAACAGCTTTTGATCGTTGAAGCAAAGATCCAGAGATGTGTGAAAGGGAAGTTATTTTTCGTCAAATTGATCAGACAAAGATCGATGGATTTTGACCTGTTTTGAGTTGGTCTCACACCGTCGTTGAGGGAGAGAGAAGAATGTATATGTAATTGAGCGCATGTTAGTCGGACAGCTAAATCTGCGCCGTCAGTTTTTTCCTCTACTTGTCGGTGACCAGTATAACCTTGCCACGTTTAAAAAATCTCTGCTGACATGTCGGCTGATGACGTCAGCTTGGACTATTTGACTCAACTTCTCGACTCGTAACGTGAGCTACGTTTATGAAGAAAGTGGCGTTTCCGTTTTATTGGAAATGCGACGAAAACACGAAAAAACGCAATGAAAATACGAAGAAACGCGATAAAAACGTTTTGAAAATGTGTTTCCATAGTTGAAAACGCGAATTTTGGTTTTTTTTGTAAATTAATTTTAGTTTTTGAAATAAATTAAATAAATATTTTGAAAATATAGGGATTTGTTTGATATTTTTAATAAGTTTTAAAACATAATTATTAAACACTAATACATTATTATTCTGTAATCTAAAAACGTAGAAGTGTCGAAGAGAAAGCGAGATATTTTTATGCCGTTTAGAACATGAGTCCAACGAGCGTAGGGGAATGACTCCACGTGTAATCATGTGAGTGGTTGATTACGTTGGAAATAGCACAAATCACAGAATTCGATGGTAAACTAAACCGATATACACGTTAGTAACATGACTACTTCAAAGTTCAAGCACATTATTTAAACTTTCTCAGCTGATTAATGAGTAAATAATTCTTGTTCAATTAGTTTAAAACTTGTTTGTTAGTATTAAAGTTCGACGTAAGGCATAATTAGAAGGAAACTTTATTGTTTTGTTGGTGCCAAATATCTTATCATAATGTTCAACTAATGATGACAGTAAGTAGATCACAAGTATTTATGCAAACCTACATTACACAGATAATTAGGTTGAAACTAAAACTAAATATTTCAGAATGATATATGTTTGTATACAAGTAATATCGAATATGAGAGAAACTCGCATGCAAAACTTTTTTCACTTATGATATAAACTTTTAGCTATTTGCAATCTTAAGTTTTGCTTTTGTTTGTTTAAATTCAAAGTTAAGAGAGAGTTTGTACGAATCTTATTTATTATTAGTATCTTGGTTTTGTGGTACTGGTAAGTGGTAATATAGATTTCACAAGTGGTTTTGGGGATAAATAACTAGACTAAAGCTAATTTAATTAATATCAATTATTTTATTTTTAATATACAATTGGGTATATTCTAGGCTACTAATTGGGGATAAAGTT